TCTTCTCCAAAAGCCGTGAAACTATAAAGCAATAAATAAATAATAAAATTAATATAATGACACATTTAAATTTTAAAAATATTACACAAAATCCGAGATGAATAAAAAAAATGAAAATCCACTTAAACCCAGCAGCTGCTCCTCCAAGCACACATACAATGTGCTTCACAAACAGTGTGCGCACCAGCTACTTTTACTCACTAATTTATGTTTTTTTTTATTAGAGGTTATTATTTATTTATTTATTTATTATTGGCCAACGCGTAGATTTTATAATACTGGCTAGTTGCTTGCTGAGTCATTATATTTTTTAATGGGAGAAATGAGAAATTACGCAGAAGCAGATTCAACAATCATGAGATAGCGTGCCCTCCTCTTTTAAATAAATAACGTGGTATATCTCAACATAAATAAATAAATAATATAAAATACTCCATAAAATCACCATCCAATATATTTTTGTACTACATTTGATTAATTAATTAGAAGCAAAATATGAGAAGATTGCATCTGTGAAAGTAGACAGTTTCTGAAAGGAATGCGAATAAAATGGGGCCTAAATTTCCAGGCAGGCAGTCACCGACCCTTCTCTTTTCTCATGCCTGCCATTAGAAGAACATTTGACTTCCGAATGTGCTGATATTAGTTTACACCAGATAATGGAAGCGCAGGTGCTTTTTTTGGGGTCGCAGTTATAACTTGGGAGGAAAGAACATGGGGTTAATCAAATCACTGAACTATCAACACATCTGAAATTAGAGTCTCCTTGAAATATCACGACATGTATACCATGAAAGAATGGAAATGCATAACAAGATTTGCCATGGGAAGTCAGCTGTCAGTGGAATCAGGACAGGCTGGAGAAGGCTCAAGAGAAACTGGACAATGATCGCTTCCGCAGAAACCTGTTAGCAATCCAAGATGAGTGAAAGGATATATGATTTTATGTACTGGAAACTGGAATAGAGGATATTGGCAAGAACTGAGGCGCGCATTCACGATGTATGAAAGCACTGCATCATCTTCTGTCAAGTGATGAAACCTGGCTTTGCTAATATATCTAGCTAGAGAGAATAGTTGCACAGTGAAGTCACTGTCTTGCCAGATAAAGGGGGGGCTGGGAACCCTAGCATTCTTTTATCCCATTTCCTGTCACAATGCTAATATTAGTATTCTTTTATCCCATTTCCTTCTCCTTTGAAATGATTTCTCTTCCTCTTTCCAACCATTATAGGTGCATGTTAACACAGAATCAAGTGTTCGTCTAAGCTCGAAAACCTGAGCAATGGCATGAGCTGATAAGGCAAGCCATGACCCATATCACTGAAAACAAGAAAAGTACGAGAAGAAAAAACCAAGAAGTTCTAGCTAGGGATAGGAACTGGCACAAGACGTGCTCAATAGCGGTTCCCTCTCTCTGGCATGAGCCTGCTTTTCCTCACGGGAAGAGCTTGTGTCATCTTTGATCTCTCCAGGGTTTTTTGGCGCACCTTTTGATCCAGCAGAAGGAATCCATACTTCCTACCAAAAATCTTCAGTTTGACTGCTTAATATACACATACTTATCAAAAGTTCATTAATCAACCTAGGATAGGATTAGCATATGTGCCTAAAACAAATTGATGTGCCATAAATGATATTTAAACTATCATCCACACAAATGAAAGAGACCCAACAGAGTAGAAGAATGTAAAGCACCTCTTATTAACTCAACTGGAAGAGAAAACATATTTGTCAGTTTTTTTTTTTAATTTTTAATATCACTAGTCTTCTCATGGAATTTAACCTTCTGTGTCACTATTGTGTATAAAAGTACAAAGCTTGAACTTCTCTACCCTTGAATTTAGTTGGATACTAACTAATGGCGTTATCATTCTCATCTTTAGAGGTTGAGCAGGAGCAGTAAGTAGATTACGATTTATTCTCTTCGAGCTAAATTATATAATCACACTAGAAAGATTTGGTCTATCCAGTTCTTGAGAGATTATGGAGCGATTGTCTTGGGGAGATGGTCTCAATCCCCTTTATACATGGCATTGTCATTTCTATTCTTAGAGGTTATGTAGAGCACTGTGAAGATTACGCATGTCTCATTTAAGATAAATTATGTAATTATACTATAAATATAATCAATTCTTTTTTAAAAAAATATATAATTGTACTAAAAAAACTTCAACTTATCTCGTCGTGAAAGGTTGTAAGGTGATTGACCTAAAAAGATGGTCTCAATCCTTTTTGCTAATGGCATTGCCATTCCTATCCTTGAAGTTTATGTAAAAGCATTAGGAAGATCACGTCTTTCCTCTCCAAGGTAACGAGAGGATTGTAAGTAGAAAACATATCATTTTTTTTTGTTATTAACAACCAAAAATAAAAAAAATGATATTATAGTAATAATTATTTATGTATTGATTTGAATGTAAAATGAGGTTAATACAAAGATATAAAACATTTAACATTAAGTTATTAAAATTAAAGAAAAGATTGCAGAGGAGATATCAAGACAAGATTTCATACATAAAGCTTATATGTCAGGTAAGTGCTCCACACTTTATTAATTTGATTCTATTTAAAATTATTATAAATATCAAATTATAATCCTCACTTATATTAATATCTAAGATTTTTGCCCTATTCTGGGCTAGATAATTAGTTTTTTTGTTTAAGGATTAATGCTTTATTTTAGGTTAGATGAATGGATTTTAGTTTAAGAATTAATGTCTTGTTCTGGGCTGGATAATTAGTTTTTTAATTTAAGAATTACTATCTTATTCAGAGTTGGATATTTAATTTATTAGTTTAAGGATTAATTTCATGTTTAGGATTGTGTAATTGAATATTTTAGATGAGGTTTTATTAACTGAGTATGAGTTAAGAAGCAAATCTTTTGAATATTGAAGGGATGGATGAAATTAATAAAAATAGGAATTAAGTTATTTATTAACCTAATTGTTAATGGGAATGTATACTAAATTCATTAAATTATACATAAAAAAATTATGTTATGTTATATTAGGTTGATTAATTAATTACTTGTGTGGAATAAAATGATTTCCAGTCCTCGCAGCTTTATTAAGATTAGTAAATTATAGAAACCTTATGTTTTGTATCTTATAAGAACTTATACTAATATTGCATATTTTGTGTAATTTTGGGATAATAACATGTATGTTAAATATTTAATGTAATTATTATTATGCTAGGACTTAAATATTAGTTAAATGCATGATTACTTAAAATAGAATTTTCCCTTGATAATGTTTGTATTAACTCTCACCATAATAGTTAAATGATACTCAGATTAAATTATATGTTGTTATATTCTAATTATTTCTGTAGATGAATTTTAGTTTAATTTATATATTAGTTAAATTTGTGGTACAAAATATTATTGATATGATGAGATGAAGTTTAATGTAATAAATTCAAAAAGATTGGATAATGATTGGAATGTAAATTGATTATTTATTAAAGTATAATAAGTTTAATCGATAACTTAGAATCTATCAGTGTAGAGGAGATTCTGTTAAAATTTTAGTAAATTTTCTAATAAAAAAATCACAATGTTTTTAAATTTATTACATAAAAATTATATCTAAATAACTAGAGATATTACAACCTTCTTTGTTGTTCTTTGTTGATATTATCATTCCTATCATTAAAGGTTACAAGAAGCATTAGAGAAATCATATAAACTACAAAGAAAACAATTGGTACATTACAAGGAAAATACACAATCATACTAAGGAAAGTAAGATCGTATTCATCCTCAGTATTAATGCAATATCTATTTCATTTTTAATGAAGAGTGTAATCATAATTTTTTTTTTTGGTTTTTAAACTTGGCTCAACTTGGGTTGTGAGTAGATGTTAAAGAAAAGTCAACTTAAAATTGATGTAGTTTGATTCAGTTAATATAATAACTTAGTTTATTTTTTTTTGTTTTGTAAAATGATATAGGCCTGTAATAACTACTAATGTGCATTTATTATTTTTATTTTTTATAAATAAACACCGGTAATATTTCTCTAAGTTTTAAATGTGGTTGTAGAGAAGAAAAGACGGAGTCCAAGAAAAGAAGTAACCAATGGCCTAACTTAATTATTTGCAAATAATAAACCTTGAATTTGTTAAGGATAACAGTTTAAAAAGTCTCATGATTAAATTTAGGTTCTAAATTAGGATTCCAACCTAAATCCCAATCCCACTTGTTTTGTAATAAGAGGCAGTATCAAGCACAGCTATTAGGTGCAATAATAATTTGAAGGACAAAGAAAAAATTTATCGACACATTTTATCAAGGCAATTCAAATAATTGCTGGGCTGCTGCATTTCTCTTGCTTTGATTCAGCATAAAAAATATTTTTATATATTAATCAAGATTAAGATTCTTTCAAAGGAAAAGAAACTTCTTCAAGTAAGATGCTAGTCCATTGGAATTGACTCTGCTGCATTAGTCAATGTCTTGTCAGAAACCTAACACTATGCCTGCTACTGGTTGATTGCCATCAGAATCATTTCAAGGTGATGAAGAAGGCACATGTTTATTTCTCCTACCGCAACAGCATGTAATATATCAATATTCAATCATGAAGCAAGAACAATATCATAATGAAAAGTCTTGGTCACCTTAAAAACATACATGGACTAATCTTCCAGGAAGCTAAACAAGTAGACATCGTACAGGAATTTGGATTGATGAAGATAAAATAAATGCTTGAGTCATCACTCAGAAATTAGATAGATTATAAGGAAATGAGGGTGGAGATCATTGTACAGTTTCCTGGAAGCTAAAAAAGCAAGGGGTTATGGTTTTTATTTTTTGCTGTAGGATTTAAAAATGGACAGTTCGTTGGCAAGTTGTGTATTAATTAAATATTATAAGGGAATCCTCAGGAAAAAAATGAATAAAAAAAATTATTACAAGGACTTGTCCCTGACAGATATAAGGCAGGGATCTGAAGTTCAATCTCCCAACTTTACTTGATTTCATAAACAAAATGTATCCTCCAGTAAATGACCAGCCAAGATATCCAGTAGATGTTCATCAAGGCCCAATCCTTGTTTCAGGAGCTCCTACTCCCAATCCTATATACACTTATGCTCCACATATGGCCGTGGGCCACGCTCCTGGTGTGGCAAGGAAGTGGTCTACTGGTCTCTGCCATTGCTGTGATGATCCTGCAAATTGTGAGCATGTGAAAACTTAACTACAAACACAACTTTTTTCTAGCTAAGACGATCAACTACTCTCACTTGTATTTTTTTCCTTAGTTAATAACTAGCATTTTATTTCATTTTATTAGGTTTCATCACTTGCCTTTGTCCTTGCATCACATTTGGACAGATTGCTGAAATTGTGAATAGGGGATCTACAAGTAAGCCAAAAAAATCAATCAGCTGGTTTTAATTCTTCAAATATTTTCATTTTTTCCCTCTTTCTGTTGTAATATCATTCATCTCATAAACTACATGTTTACCGGGAGGAATTGCAGCTTGTTTTATGAGTGGATCAGTATATGCGCTATTGTTGGGTTTTGCATGCTTGTACTCCTGTTGCTATCGCTCAAAATTGAGGGGCCAATATGACTTGGAGGAGGCCCCTTGTATGGATTGCCTGGCGCACTTCTGCTGTGAGACTTGCGCGTTGAGTCAAGAATATAGAGAGCTCAAGAGTCGTGGATTTGATATGGGGATAGGTACTGTATTTATACCTGTTCAGATATTTACAGGCTTTCTGTTTCATCAACCTTTCAAAAACTAGGAGCATATAAATTTGACAGGAAAACTCTTGCCCTAATTAGCCCTTCCTTCCATCCTGGCCATATGCAAGAAATATTGAGTCCCAGGTCACATTGGAATATTCTGACCTTTAGTTTACGATAGCCCAGAGCTACCAGTTGTTCACCAACAGAGTGTTGGATAGCAAAATGTTGAATACGTGAAATGATAAACTTGGTCTACATTTACTGGTGTTTGTGTTCATAAACGTCACCAGTTAAGATTTTCGAGAGAATTATACAAATTAAGCCCTCGTTTAGGTATCCTGAAAGGCATGGATGCACGCATCTGCATTTTTTTACTCATTGGCTTTCTGGTTTTCTTTAATTAAATCTGATCTTGAGTTTCTTTGTTGGATGGAAATTATGGGACCAAAATGAAGGCTGGGAAGCCAATATGGTTAGATTTCAACAGCGTGGAATCACAATGGCTCCAATTGCGACCCCAGGCATGACAAGATGACAGAGACCCTTCAGTTCAGTTCTGTTTTTTTTTTTTCCTCCCACGGCAACAACTGATGCCAATGCTGCTGCCTATCTTCTTCTGCTATCGCGCTTGTTCTTGCAACATTTATGTCTTGTATATCGGTTTGCTTATTTGGGCTCTAGAGTGTTTACTTGCATATATCAATTTTCACATTGGCTACAAGAATTGTGAAAGTTTTGAGTCATTATAATATCCAGGAAAGGAAAATCTCCCATGATAAAACTGGTGATTGGTCTTCAGCGAGTACATAGAAAGTAGCAGGTGTTTATGATCATGGATCAACCAAATAATTCTCTACACAGTCTTCAATTTAACTAGATTCACCTAATAATTCCCTAAATTCTCAATTGATTAAGAACAAAAACACAAACTAGGATGATAAGGGTCTAATGAAGTTGTAAGAACAAAAATAAAGATTGACAGAGGCTGAAGCTCAGAGTCGACAGTGGTACCAACCAATGAAGAAGAGATTTTTGTAATATCTGGCACGGCTTACTTCTGGTGTAAAGCTCCTTCACTGAAAATGTTTAGCATGCCTTACCCAATCCAATCAATTAAGCTCCTCCTTTCTGTTTTTTTTTTTATTTTATTTTATGCAGGCTCATTTTCTTCATCTTGGCTTCGCGACGCTCTCTCTTCACTCCTTTAGCTTTACTAGCCAGTGCCATCTCTCCGATTTAAAGAAATAAAATCGTTCACATCACAAAACTTGAAAGAAACAAAGATTCTAAATAGAGATGTAATTTAGAACTAAAACACGGCTGCTACATCTGGGCAAATGAGGCCACGTCTAGCACAGGACCAGTTTCACCCTTCCCCACACAAACATTCAGAATGACTAAATGTCTACTTACCTTTCGATCCGGAATATACATCTTTCCAAGCTTCCCTTGTAGAGCATCTTTACCAACGCTTTTAATCTGCAAGCACGAAATAGGCAACATTACTGACATGCCATTTTATTCTCAGATGAAAAAAACAGAGACAGAAGTACATGGCTAGCTAACCTTCTTCTGAGGCTTATCCTTAGAAGTTTTCATGGCTTCTTTCCTTATGCTTTCATAAGGAAAACGATGACGACGAACTACAAAATCCATGGAAGGGCCAACTTCTACCAGTTCAATCCTTGGGACTATCGTGCCTGACCTTTCTAGCCGTAGTGCACAGTGTGTGAGGAACACCTGATTTGAAGATCAAGCTGTACATACTTCCACGGCCCAACCCAGCAAGATTCAAATTATCCACAACCTGCATGAATTGGGTAAAAGCTCCCTTTAGTTATCTTTCAAAGTTTTGAAAGGCAGGAGCATGTGGTAGCAGAAACAAACCTCTCCCGATTAGACATGTTTGAGTAGATGTGACAGGATCAAATCTTCTAAGGAGAACAAAGAATTGCGCAAATAAACTAAAACTTCATTTATAAAATCAGGAGTGAGTAAATTCTATTCCTAGCTAGATAAAAGAATAAAAAAATAAGCACGGAAATATATGCAAACAATGGAAAATTGCATGTATATAAAAATAGGTGGAAATGGAACAACAGAAAATACTCATAGCAATGCAGGTATGAAGGATCACATTGAATATTTTGCATGGAAAACTTATAGTACAGTATCACAAATCAGTGAACCCAAGAAAAGGTAAGCGACGAGGTCCTATTTTATCC